ATACAAATCGCATCGTGAGTAATCTCGATGGTCGGATGAGTGGACAAACAGACATGTGATCGTGGTGAACCCGATTTCCGGTCTCACGGTGAAATCGGTTTTAGTTATCTGTGTTTTTATTTTGTTTTATTTTTCCATGACAATTTTATTCCAAGTAGATATTGAGATGTATTGGCATGAATAGGGATCTCTGAAAACGAGCTTGTTCGCTACTCTGTTGTTTTGTCTGAAATGTGCTCTGTGGGATTATTTCAACAATATATATATATACACTGAATTGTAAAATGTTCGTTGTAACGTTTCAATCTAAACTTGAACTCGTCAAAGGTAAATGGAATGAATGATCGAATGGGATTATCTTCTTTCCCTACGCCTGTGTGGTGTTTGTACGTCTATCAGTCCACCAATTGTCACGGGTTTTGCGAGCGCGACCTTATGTTTGTGTATCTCGGCTCGTCGGTTGAACGAATTGATCGAGTTTTGAGCTTCAGTGATTAGTCGTTCCCCTTCTTCTTAGCTCGCGCCACCACCTTTGCGTTTTCCATCGCGACCTGGTGACCTGTCCGTGCACAGGGGTTCCAACTTTGTGACCTCGGGTCAGCGCCTCGGATGGCCAGCTTGTGTTCATGTAGGCGAGTGCGTGGTTGTTTGCCTGTTTCATTTATTTTTAGTTGTTGATTACAGCCCAGGTACATGATTGCGTGGATTACACCTGATCGTTCGTGCTGTTCAACTCGATCCTTGCCGTTGAAGAGAAATGATCTCACGGTTGATGCTGGTTAATGGGCTATCTTGATCCCCATCGGTCGGAGCTTCTGACGTGCCGCATTTGTAGATTAATGTCATCCAAATTCCCGCTGTTTGTGTTTATATTGTTTGTTTTTACCCGAGATGCACACGTGGATCAATCGCCTGGCTTATGCGTTAGATGAGAACAGTTGAGAGAGTCGACTTCTTTCTATGAACCCTAGGCTCCAGAGTGGGGTACTTCATGTGTTCGCTCGGCGTAATAGAGTTCGCACACAACTTTTCAAGTGGCACAAGGGATGGTTTCTGTTGTACATATAGATATAACCAATATATAAACAATTGCCGCGTATGGTCATTAGAGACTGCGTACCTTACTCAAGGCTTAAGCAGATATACGAACGACACGCGTTTCTTGTTGATATGGGACCACCCGAGGTCAAGTAGAACGATAAGGAACCAGGAGACTGCGCGATTTTCGGACGACATGATGCTTAACGAACGACAGAAATTGTTGGGGTGGGAATGAATCCGCGCAGAAATGTCCTCCATCGTGGACGGGTTTACACCAGATCCTCAAGTTGAAAGAAACGAAACTACCAAATTTTATTTATCACACTTATTCAAACTCGGATGATTCGCATTGCCACGCGTTTCCGCATCTCAGAAGTAATTCTGAGCTTTCGATATCCCAGGACCTGAACGACAGTCGGATAAATGTCGAAAATATAATGGAATAACTTCATATTATTGGCATGACTGATAAATGCCAGAAAGCCGTTGTTTAACTTGGCAATGCAACAAGTGTCCATATCAGTCATTTGTATGCTAAAAACGGTAGTACAACAAAAGTTGGTGCTATGTTCAATAGCTCGGGCCCCTCAAAACATCTCTATGGAAGTTTTTCCCTGTTTACTTCCGGTTCTAAGGGTACGTATCAACTGAACAGCTCACACAGTAGTGTTGAAAGCCAATCAATGCAAGCTGTTAGTAAATTAAGTGACAATTATTAGCAATCGAAAGCTTTTCACTGCCTTCGAACCTTAGAAACCTTTCTCACATTGCTAACGTTGGTTCCCTCTATAAATGTAAAGTACGATTGGTCTGATTGGTTTAGTATTCCGAAAAGATCAAAACTGTTCATGTTGGCCTTTTCATCTGTTTTCATCCAAACTATGATTATCACCTTTCATGCGACATTACATGTTTATTTAATCCACATCTGCTTATTGGTGGGAGGTACGTCATTGAGCATTTAATCATCAGACCAAGCACTCATCGAGCACTAGACTCAATTTTCGTCCCCACATACACTGGTTCATTTGAGTGTTGAACTCGTTACCCCCAGCAAGGAAACTGTATGTGTTATAACCGTGCCTACCAGCTCACATGGGGACTGATTAGAATTGCCGAGTTAAGTCTGTTCAACTTTTGTCTCTAATGACAGTCACTCAGATCATTTGACCCGACGGGATAAAAAGGCCTGTGAATACACATTGTAAATAGTGAAATTCAAACATAGTGCTTCCCGAGTGTATGATTGATTGATTGAAATGATGATTGTACTGGAAAATGAAATCTGAAGGTTGGTCAATTAACCTCAGCGTGTAAATTTAATATTGAATGTTTTGAAAATAATTCTATTGTCAGCAATATTTTTCATTGTTATAACTGACTTTTCTTCGTCGATCAGATTTATCCATCCGTCGAGGATGTTCGCAATAGCCTGGAAGGCTACGCAGCCGGTGGTTGTCTGCCATATAGTCATCAAGTTGCTGAGAAACAGCACTGGTTAAGACATTTCTTGCACCGCTGGAAAGCCGGTTCACATACGCGAGCCGGTCCGCACATCAAAACCTATTCCCGTATCTCTCCAGATGGATGTTACGCAACTTGGTTTCTTCTCACCAGGTATTCAGTTTTTTCTTTAGTTGTCCAATGTGCATGTGTTATCAAAGTCTGAGCGCTGTGGTAATCACCGTAGCACAAAGGTAATCGCTTTAGTGCTTTCCATTATACTGGTTCCTGTCAGCTCTGTCGAGGTTAAAAACGTGCCAGGTAAATAGGAATCCTGATCTTACGCGGGTATCTTTTGTTTTTACCCAGTATACTGAATCAATTGTGCTCAAACTCTGCAGACGCTCGTAATCCCTATATTTTCCGGGGCGGGCCTCTTGAGCTGGAAACTGTTGGTGATTGGAGGAATTTTAAACCCTAATCTAAAACTTCTTGAGTGCCTCTAAATGCATGCGTTCGTAACCGATAGTTGGTAGCGAGGTTTGAACAGATTTTAACTCGACTTAGTTTTCAATAGTGTGGATTATGGATATTATCAAGCTTTCGAAGCTCCACCCTTGTTTTGTTAGTTCTAGAGGATTTTCCACGGACATCTTGTGGAAAGCTGGCACAACGTTGGACTGTTCATGCTAAACAGCTGTCGGAAAGATAATTTGGTGATTGCAATTACAAGGACCACAGTGTTGAATGAAAATTGACAGCGGTGGAAATCTCGTTTTAATTTGCGATTTCAATCTCTTGATATCAATCTGCTTACTCTTCGGGGGAGGTAGAAGCTACTGATCTAACGCTCGGCTTTTTGACATCATCCTGCACCGATTTTTCGCTTGCCTAGATCGTGTTGTAAAATATGAATGAGACACTTCTTGGGTGACCAACATAAAGGAAAACTTCTCTGTTTGCCTACGCCGTTTATTAGATCTTCGGCCATGAACATCGATTTTTCTACTAGTGGCTGAGATAGTTGTACTCAAGGTCGGTTATACTTTCACATGTGGTTAATTAACTTTATTCTGAACTATGTTTATCGGGATAAATGGTGGAGTACAAAACACGGGCTTTGTGAGGTTCGCTGAAAACAAATGTATCATGTGGGCGGTGGTAAAAGTTGCCAGGTCATCACCCCCAGAGGACGCATGTTCGAATCCCGCCACTATCGTCTTTCTTTCCCCATTGTGTCGTATGGCAGCTCTTTAATTAGCTGCTTTCCTCTTCCTGAAAATTGTATCATCGCATGTTCAGTAAAAAAATCAATTGTAAAATAAAGGAAAATGATGTTTTCTTTTTGGTGAATTCGTACTCCCGTAGCTAGATGAACCTAGTCGTTTCATTGCGCCGTTGAATTGCACATGAACGGATGCATTATCATATTCTATAGTCGGATTTCGTTTTATTTAGTGTTCGTAATGCTCTGGACCACTTAACATCAACCTACTCAGCCAATTAATGTCCACTCATCCTCTTGACAGAATATGCCTTCACCCTTGCCGGTAGCTTACGTTGCACTTTCATGATACTCACCATTACTCTTTATCTTTCGTCATACAACTGTTACTAATGAGCATTTAATCACTTAGTTGTTGTACGACAGTATCGTCTGTTCCATTAATATCGATAAAGAATTCTCCTATATCTGTGTCAACTAACACCGATATAGTTTTTTATTTTACATATACTTTTGTTCCCATGCACAATCGTAGCGCGAATCTATCCAAAGCTGCATGGGGCGTTTTGCAAAAGGGTCGGACACAGTTGACAATGCGGTCCTTCGAACTAGGTGTACTCTTCGTCCCTTCGCAGTTTGAAGTAAGCTATTGGCGTGCATGCAAAGCTTTGTTGTTCAAATTAATAACACCAAGCTTGATTGTTCTGCTCATCTCACTCGAAAAATGTGTTGCATTTCACTAGTAAATGATAGCAATTAACTTGGCTCAATAATTTATTTATCTTTGACACAATCTTTTTTGTGTATCTCGACTGGCAATATCAAACTTTTATTATTTTCTTAGTTTGCCTAGCGAAGCTTGGTGTGGATCTGCTCACCTCGCTTCACAATTAGTGTAAACTTTTCATCGGCATCCGAGGCGACCGCTTTCCATTTCTCTTGCGCCGATAAACAGTGAAGTTATCAAGACAGTTCTACTGACTTCACTTCACTTATCAGCTAGTCATTTTGGCCCGACTGCAGCTTGCCTTATTGCGATCCCGTACAACTTGACCCCGTTTACAGCGCGTGGTCATCGTTCAAGCACAGTGCGATCTTGGTCGGTGAGACCGTGTTTGTTATTGCCCAGCTCGCAACAAATTAATTCACTTACAAGTGTATTATAACAAGGGGAACAAGCCAGTCCATAAGAAGCAGTAGGTTTCATCCTTGGTGTGAGGTGGCTTTGAGATTTTATCTAATCTTTCGCTCCTGTTTTAGTTGTCCGTGGTGAGTGTGAGCTAGAGCAACCCACTCTCTGTAAATTTTTGGTTTCTTACCTAAACGGTAATATCAAACATCCGTGCTTGGACTAATCTGTTATTTTGTGGGATCCCTCGGCCTGACCCGAGGAACGACCGCTTCCATTCAGCTTTTCAAACCTTATCATAGCCACTTCTTGACTCATTTCTGAATTGCCTAACAATTTGGTACCCATTATGGAATGGAGAGTTGCCTCTATGTGGTCTGGTCATTGCATGTCTATCACTCAGCCTCACTAGCAGCGCAGTGTTTCGTTTAGGTCCCCACTAATTTATCCGCAGCAGTATGTAGTTAGATAGATGTATCTAGAAAAAAAATACACCTAATGATATGATGTGAAGGAATCGCGGCTGTCTACACGCATTGCATGCAGAATGATTCTGTTCGATTCAAATGATCTTGTTCTGCTCAACCGTTTTGGATTAGCGGATTTTCCCGTTTTATGTGGGCGATGGCGTTTCATTCTTACGTCAATCCATCCGACCCTCAAACATGTGTACACTTCCTTTTTTCTAACTTTGTAACCACTCGTGAGCGTACGACTAGAGAATGCTATACGAGGTCGCTGTTGTTTTATGATAAAGAAAACATCTGTACTTAATAGAATGTGTCCGTAAAATCTTCCAACATTATTAAATATCAGTTTCACTCTGTACTGGAGACATTTTGTATTTCCAGGTTAAATTTAGGCCTAACCCCTACACCGGGCTCGGGTTTTAGAAATAGTTTATGGTTAAAGTAAAGAGTTGATGCTTAATGAAGATGTATCCATGATATTAGGATCTGTTTCTCTGTTATGATTCTAGCAGAATGTATCGTCATCTTTTATAAGCTTATTTGAGAGTCCTGATTCTCCCTGATACAGTTGGCACGAGCTTGGTGGGGAAACGGGCCAAGGAATGCTGGGGTTATGCGGCGAGTTAAAAGTAATCGCGGTCATCCACTAGAGCAAGTGGTCCACCTCAATAGATAGATTACGCTGGTTGGGCCATGTATTACGCATATCACCAAA